TCTCCTTGGTTGAATCATTATAAGCCTGCACATATAACATTTGCATGCAAGGTCAAAAGCAACATCCAGTCAAACCTCAAGTCAAGGGTATCAAGACAACTTCAAGCAGTTAAGAATGAAGCAGACAACCAAGAGAAGAAAGCCAATTCTTTCGCACCAACAGAGATCTAACAGGAGGTTGAACACAAGTAGAATCAAAGTAAAACATGTATACTTGTCCAGTTGACATAACATGCATGTGAATAAAACAAACAACAGTACTGGGGATGTTCAAATCTCAACTGGCGCAAAAAAAAGGGACACACATAGCTTAATCATTTATTTTATAGAATGATTCTAACCTCATGTGGATCAAAGTAAGTCCGAACTAGTAGATGTTCGAGCCGCAAATATCTTTCTGGTTGCTCCTGTTTCATGACACCCATCACATTGGTTTGCCTTAAAATAGCCCGTGCAGTATCCATCTCCCGAAGTTCAATCATCTCCAAAACAATCTATCAGGCAACGGAAAGAGTCAGGAGCAAAAAAGATTGCACTGAACAAAGACAGTAAAAAGGTGATCAAATACTTCAGAGAAAACCAAATAAGCAAAGCAATATTTGCACTTAATATTTTTCTGCCAAGCTGAAGTTCATCTGAATAAAGAGCAGTGATATGGAACTACAGCAATCAAGAGAAAGAAGAAAACAGACAAGAAAAATATGGCATGTTTTTTTCTTAAACAAGAAAAGAGTACAATATTCAACCGAAATCTATTCACTCTCACATCAAACATTTGTTAATACAACTCTCAAGCAATTTTTATTCCACACACAAAAAAAAAACGAAAACAAACAAAAAAACAAGTAAGAGGATAATAAGCACAAAACACACAATCTAAAATGCTTCTTTGAAAGAATGATCCATGCAGACCTGCTCATATAAATCCTCCAGTATCTTTCTCGGAAGCTTTAGTTGTGCAACTTGAGGTAGTACTGCATCCCATCTTCCGCTATTAATATCGGCTATAAAGGTTTCAAGGCTGTCCACAGTATTAAGAGAAACCTGGCACTCATTTTGCAATGTCTGGAAAGTTTGATGCAGAGAATTCTCCTTGCAGAATTGAAGAACTATCTTAATGACACTGCAAGAAAGAAAGAAAACATTATCTCTCACATACAACAATAAGGATAAGATACTCTTATGCTGTTTCAAACTGATATGTCTGCAAAGGTAATATCTTAAATGAAAACAATGCAGATGGTCTTCTTGGGAAAGTAAAATGGCCCTAACAGCAAATGGCTCAACAAACTTATTTAAAAAAAAAAAAAAAAAAG